CGCTTCGTCCGCAGTTTAAAACAACGACGATCAACGAAACATGAATAAAGGGGTGTTAAGAATAGTTGCATGCGCGTTATCTTGTGAGCTTGTGTAACGTGGGCGACTTATGCGTGATTACGGATCGCAATTATACCGGCTACTGCGCGATCATGATATTTCTTTCAGGTCATACTCCTCTAGTTCTACGTATCGTGTGTTCTATAAAGAACGTGTTATTCCCGAACATGACGAACATTAATTACAGTTACCCTGCCGTGGCTACTACCGATAGTGATGCTACAACTTCATCCTCCTACATATCTACTGACTCCGGAGAATCAATTTTAAAGACCCTAACTTCGGGTGATCTCCAGATACTCGGAAGGGTTCTGTGGGTGGTTATCATCGTCACTCTTTTTGGAAACTTCTGCTCTTTCTACGCTGTCCTCGACTACCAGAACTTCAAGAAAATAATGACACCTGAAATCCCTACCTGCTATCCAATGTTCTTTGTGCTGCTCTCACCTCGGTGGACTTTCTTCAAATCATTCTGGTTGGGATACCGGCAGCAATCTGTTTCTCGACCACCAACACTAATCTAGCCTCCGGTTTTTATAACCTCGGCGTAGTTGACCCGTTGCTTGACCTAGTAGTCTGGACCCAACTCCTCCTGGTCACTTTAATATGTCTTGATAGAGCTCTACACATCTGTCGACCAATCACCTACTATTTCAAACCCTACATGATGGTACTAAGCCTTTTGATTGGTCCTGCTGTCCCCTTCTTCACACTGACCTTACCGTATATCCTTGCTGCCCGAGTCACTATGCAAGACAGGGAATACAAAGGGGAGGATGGAAAATCAGTATTTCTTTGCTCAAACGCCAGGATTAATGACGAGAACGGGGAGCACACTGCCAACATCTACATCTTCATGAGCTGCACACTTCAACTGGGCACCAATTGGGAGTACACGGAGTTTTATCAAACCTGGGAGAATGTTTCAAACCCTCTGGTTTTACTCCTGGCAGTAGCTGCCCTGGCTGTTACCTGCGGTTTTATTGTCAGGATTCTGGTCAGGAGTGCGAGATTTCAGATGATAAGTAACAACACCAGGCATGAAGCGGTAGCAAGAGTATTAGAAAGACGTGTACTATTTCTATGGTCCAAGCAGGCTTGATTTTAGTCTCTAGTCTCCCTCTCCGGTGTTACCAGATAAGAGACAGGCTTTGTTCTTCCTGTGGAGGATTTAGTGTGCACTATACAACTGTAGCAAGATTATTGGTATTCCTAGGTCCCATGTTCAACTCCTGGCTTTATGCTATGAGAATGGGAAACGTTAGGAAGTTTCTATGTTCCAAAAAGAAACAGTTGTTTAACTTTAAGTCAGCTCATCATCGGGAACAAACGGCAACTGCAAGTACAACGGTCAGCCGTGTGACCAATAAATCACGGGGACCTGCGTCCAGCGTCTAGCAGAAGCATCCTACACCACCAATAACAATATCCTACACCACCAATAACAATATCCTACACCACCAATAACAATACCCTAGACCACCAATAACAACACCCTACACCACCAATAACAACACCCTAGACCACCAATAACAACACCCTACACCACCAATAACAACACCCTACACCACCAATAACAACACCCTACACCACCAATAACAACATCCTACACCACCAATAACAATATCCTACACCACCAATAACAACACCCTACACCACCAATAACAACATCCTACACCACCAATAACAACACCCTACACCACCAATAACAACACCCTACACCACCAATAACAATACCCTGATCAACAAAGCCGAGTGGGAATTCAAAAGAGACCTGGTTCAGCACATAGAAGCCCTGTTGTAGCTCGAAACACTCCCGAACATGCCCGAATTCTGACTCCTTTTTGAAAAAAGTACAAAATACCCTGTCGGGTCAAGCATCTCAGAATACTTTTCAGAATACTTCAAATTATGTAAATTCGGGTGACTTATAGAAAATTTAGTGCAATACTAATACTATCTGGTTGCTGAGTTATTTCAGGATGACAAATGCCAACTTTTGGGTGTAGATCGGATCACTTACACTTATCTTAAATGTTATTCTTCAGTATTTTGTTTGACTTAAATCTCCCCAGGGTACCACGTTTTACATAAAACATAAAAATTTCTTAAAGAATATGTAAATTTGAGTAATAATAATGTACTGGGCATGCCACGGTCAAACTTTTAAAATTTTCATAAATTAAAATGTCCATAATCAAATATGTGGAGCGTTTCTTTGATTCGAAGAGCTTGTATAACTTAAAACAAAACAAACTACGTTTAGCTTATTAAGATATAACGATGCAAAATTTAAAGTTGAACTAAGTGTTCACAAGGCTAACTGCAGAGTGCAGGTTCATTACAGCTGCCAGGGGTAACACAATAACTTCACTAAAGCGGCACAAGTTATAATGTAATAAGGGCATCACCGGTGATACCCGTACAATATTGATTTGAAATAAGGTAGGTTATAAACCTACAAGTTCCTCAGCATAACTATACATACAACCTTGCAGTTGCACAATATTAGCTAGATCAAACGAAGAATACAAAAGTAGGACAAATAAAAACGGGATTACTATATCACATACAGATTATCATATATTATAATATATGCAATCTATGGTATGAGTGTATAACGGTTTACGGTGACAGGCGATAATTATAGTATCGATAACACGACTGAAATAGGACAGTAAAATACACTGAAAAGAGAGATCTGCAACCTGATTTCCTCGAATAATTCTGTTACCGCTACAAAACCGGAATTCCTGGAAGAATCGCTAAACGCAATAAATGAAATAAGAATAACATGGAACTCTGTATTCCAGCAAAACTATAACACCTAATAAGAGAAATAATATTTAAAAGATTATACCTTTATGATGAAGGCACAATTTAATGTCGACCAATCAAAATATTAAGGAGTTAAGGGTATCTTAAACAAACGCTGAAGCTTACTAAGTATATAGTAACAATGCTTGTGAAGACTAACTAGTCCTGTATACAAAACAAATGTACTAAGAAACTCATATTATACATTAACTGAACTCAGGTGTTGAAAAAACTAATAATAATATATTCGGTGTCTATAGCACTGTTCTCAGTGCGACTGCGTCATACTTATACTAAGAACGCAAGCGTGCTAAATCACTCTGATCTACACTCGATCTTCGAAATTTTTCTAAAAGAGCCGCCGACATTTGAAACCAACTTAGATCGATGTATTTTCGGACGCTGATTCCGAATCACACCCCATGACATGTGGTTAAAATGCTCCCCTGGCGAGATATTGGCGAAAAACTATCTCGATCACGCGATATTACTATAATACTATTAGTCAGTGTAATAAGCGCCAAGCGCGAGCACAGAACTTTTTTTCTCCGATTTCGATAAATTTGGTACCAAAATTTGTCTAAAAATGTGAATAAAATAAATCCACCGTGTAGCAATTTTCGCTAAAAAGTAAAAATGCTACACGGCGCTTGTTCGCCGCGCGTGCTTTTTTCGCGCAAATTTTTAGTTTTTGGCCTATAACTTTCACATTTTCAGTTATTATCACATAATTATTATGGCATCGTAATCAGCTCATCGAGACGAAACTTTTAGTACTAATATTTTAAGATATAAAGGAAAATTATTTTCCAAATTTTCAATCTGAACACAAGGGTCCCCCCTTGTGTGAAATTTTGAACAAATTTTTGAAAAATTTGGTGCTTCAAATATTATAATTTTGGCACCAAAAGTTGCGTCTGACTAAGCTCATTACGATACTGTAATAATTATTTCAAAATATTCAATATTTTAGGAGTTATAGGCATTTTAAGCAATAAATTACCCATTTTTCGTCCTTTGTACATTCTTGTAATGCACCGGAGGCCCACATATAGCTCGACGTTATTTTGCTACACAGTGAATTTGCATTATTCACACTGAGAGGCAACTTTTGGTACCAAATTTATCAAAATCAGAGACAAAAAGTTCTGTGCCAACTCATGGCGCTTATTACATAGACTATATACCGTATAAGGAAGTTAAAGTCTAATTTCTCGTTTGGATTAGTGTTTCAGCATATGCCTTTGTTAGGGATTGGGTTAGACTTACCCGGATATTATGCCAAATTATTAGAAATGGACCTCCGTCTAATAATTTGGCATAATATCCGCTATACTATGGAACTGGGGGGTAAGGGTTAGGTTTAGAATCAGATTAGACTTAGAGGGTTAAACAGGAAGCTATAAAATTTGAATTTTTATAATAATTGAAAACATGATCGGTAATCGCTCTAATTTCCTAACTAGGGAAGCAAATAAGAAACCATTTTTATCTTTTTTAAACTATGTAATTTTAACGATCAATATCGCTTACCATGGTATTGGTAACTAATTTTATTTCATTTTTCATTTTTAGCACTTTTGTGTACCGAAATTAATTTGTTAAACTTACCAATTTATCAAAAGTTCCATCATGAAAATGCCGAATTGTTGCAGGATTGTTTTAAAATTTGGAGACGGGTTGCACAACTTAAACTAGGCATTCAGTTTTAAGTACAATTGCTGTATAAAATGGGGAAAAATAATGCAATTACCTTTATTGTGAGAGTTACAAAATTACTCTAAAGTAGTTTCAAGAATGTACGGCTTTTAACGATAAGATAGTTTATCAAGTTTATGTAATTTCAAAGAATTTGAAAAAAATTTATTTGCTTACCAGGCAAGATTTTCAATATTGGAAATTGGAAATATTTTGAAAACTGAAAATCACGAAATTTGAGCGTGAAATTATTTTCCTAGCTAAATCGAATTTTTTATGCAACGGATTTGTCTAGAAACTAGTGCCACGAAACATTAATTTGAAACCGGGCAACTTATATTAATGAGTAAAATATACTGGAAGTGATAAAACAGTGAGCTTATTAGTGAACGTGGACTGGCGAGCGCAGATAAAACCAATACCGAACAAGTTCCACAATGATATTGATGACGTTAATTACAATTTGCAGCGCCGTAAACCCGCCTTATATATATATATATACTCATATATTCGTACCATTACCAACTCATCAAGTCGAATTTTAAACTGAGAGAACGACTCATTTGACTCACCTCATTCTTCTTGTGACGATGAAATATTGTTTAGTTTTAGTTTTGCTCTGTGTTTGTGTAGTGCAAGGAGGTTCGGAGGAAAATACCTTTAAAGAGGATTCAGTAGACGAGATACCTTACAAGACATATTTATAACGTACGAAATGTGGCGGTTTTCCGAAAATTTCGCCATATTTTCGGACCGCCAAAATTTCGGTCGTCGTAATAGAATCCGTCGCATTATCTTTTAGCTTATTTCAATGACTGTGCCTTCACTGCTTTATTTTGTTTCTAAAAAGTAATATCAAGTAAAATAAATAAATAAATTCTGGCATCTTGGGACAAATTATCACCACACCAATGACGAATTGAATGTCAAGCAATACAGTTTAAATTTGCATTAAAATACATGTATGTGCTAACATGAAAGTCTTACAGTCTTAATACAGACTAAGTTTGAACATGATTTTACCGATTTTCAGAAATTTCCTTACTGCTTACTGTCACAAAAAATGATGAAAAATACCCTTATTTTCTGTGACGTCCGAAATGTGACGGTTTTTGTTCAATTTCGCCATATTTTCGGACCGCCAAAATTTCGGTCGTCGCAAATTGGTCCGCCACAAAAAAGTCTTGTAAGGTATCTGGACAACTGAGTGTGTGCCCGGGTGAGCTGGTCAACTTTTTAAATACATTTTAAACATTTTCTTATCTATTATAGTATTATATGCAACCTGACAAAGCCAATGGTGCCCGTCGTGAGGGTTGACTTAGATTTAAGGCCGTTTCCCGAATACTGGGATAATCAAAGTAGTAATATTTCGAGCTCACCATCGCATCTCCGATTATCTTCCACACGTCCAGAGAAATGTTTTCTAGGTTATAAGTATAACTACTACTAGGTTACATGTCTAGGTTTTCTGTTGAACTATTTACTATTTTCATCCTTATTACTTTTTCAGAATACCAAGAACTGTTAAAGCAAATAATCGCATCGAATGGATGCCTGAAAGAGGATCGAGTCTCAATATCTGACATAGTGGCACAATTAGCTGACTTGCTAACTGAAGACCTAGGAAAGTTGAAAGATCTCAAAAGACCGATCCACAGCCGCTCTCGAAGGTCACCTGGTTGTCCTTACGTGTGTCAGCCTAGATGTTACAATAAACGAGTGTGCACTCAGGAGTGTTACTACGACTGTGATGACCCCTATCTGTGCCAATGGTGGCCTTATGAGGATCCGTGCCCATAAACTTGAAGATCTGCTAAGACTTATTCTTGATCAGGCGTTCAACTATTTTCTCTATTTATTAACTGCCATCGATTATTTTAGAAGCTATATGAGATTATGAGAGTTTAAGAACGGAAAACATGATTTAGTCAATATTGATTTTTATGGTTGAATGTTAATTGGATTTCAAAATTAAATTTAAAACCAGAAAAAAATAACACTCGTTCATTCATTGGTCAAATAAAATTCAACAATTACAAATATATTTGCGACTTTAACCGTCTGAATTAAAATATGATTTAATTGCATTCAATCAAATAACTTTAGAACTTTAGCTGCCAAAGTTACATCGAAATACAGTCTCGGGTCACTGCTCCAGTTTGAGTAAACTAAACAATCTGCTAACTATTGTTTCGTCACCAAGCTGTCAACAGCTAAAATGTGGAAGTATCTGTCCTTATTCAGCCTGCAGGTGCAATATACTCACCAGTGTAACTATACCGTAACTACATAACTACATATAAACTCTATTTATTCTATACACAACTAAATAGTTCAATGCAAAATGAATTTCGTTATGAGCTTAGTTCAGTTTCTTCTTCTCTTCCTCCAGGATGTCTGTTTTTCTCAAAGAGTAAGTTGTAATTCTATATGTTCAGATGTGGTGTTCCTTACCCAGCGAGACTTGCAGTTATAGAACTCTGGTATTGAGGGATGGATTTGATAAGTAATATGATTAATATGGAATGATTGGAAACGGTCGACGATAACTAATGAAATTATTGCCTATCACCATTTTTACCCTTTATCTTCGAAGGTTTTATGTTAAACCAATTTGCGGGTCATATTCCTAAATCTAAAAAACATCAACCAAAAACTGATATAATAGGAAACTAACCGGAGCGTTCCACATCAAGGCGCCAAAAATGAACCCAAATATTTGTAATATTATTGCGATGATGAATTTGAATCTGAGGGGCGACTTTAAGATGAATACTACGGTCTGAAGCTTAGCTTGAAGTCCTTTGAACTCTGTTGTAACACGGCTGAGATGGAATTTTAATTAAAAACAACTCAAATCACAAGCTGACTAAAAATAAAAATAGAAAGAAATAACCATTTTTATTGAAAATATTTCAATAAGCTAAGTTCATTTACTCCTATTTTCTACTCTAAAGAATGTTGAATGACGATTTCATGGGTGAAACATTTCGCTCACATAGGCTCAGGAATAACAGGGTTTGCGTTTGGTTCATTTCTCCCAAATCCAGCAGGTCTCTTCTCCGACTGCTCTCTGTTCATGACCTCCAGCTCCATCCTAATGTTCCCGGTTTTAACCAAGTAGTCACCTTGTTTTTTGTAAAGCGGCCACCATCCTGCAGACATTTTTGAACATTCAGTCAAGAAACAGATTCTGTTAAACCTTATTAAATATTTCTGTTAAATTACAAAAAAAAACATAGAAGGTCTCCTAGGGGGAATTATATACTGCATAATCTTAAATCTGCTATAACAAAATTATTCAAAGATGGGTCTACCCAGGGTTTTCTTGGCTTTGTAAAGGTTGAGGAAGGTTATCTTCGGAGGTCCCACAAACTTGTAATCATCAGGATCATACACTTCATCCTTGCCTTTAGGAGGATCCTCATACTCAGGAATAATGTCCATTATAGCCCAATCCTCCCGTGCCATACCACGTGGCATATAGGACAAATTCAGGTGAACGTAACCGTAAGGTTCCTTACTGACCCCTGGATCTCCATCCATCACTTTAAGAGTGACGATAGGGTCCAGATATGTGTCCTCTATGTCACCGGGGATCATCACTTTCCTTTTGAGATAGGCGTATTGGAAGTTGAACTTGAACCTCCAGTGAAGTACTCCGTTACCGTTAACTGCCCGGGTGTGTATCTCTGATACCTGGAAGTAGAGGTTGGAGATGTTACTTGCAGATTGCATGAAGTTTTTCATTCGCCCAAAAACATTGTGTAGTTCATGACTCTTGGCTTAAACGTCTTGGTGGAGGGTTCTTGAAGTGTTGCTTACAATCATTACAATAAAATGTTTAAGTCTGTTTCAAGGTAACACCAGCGGCCAGTTTTATTAAACCAGATATATATGGTTAGTAAACTTTACTGTATAAAGAAGATCAGGATTTAGGAGATACGGTGAACTTTGAATAATATACCTGACTCTCAGTATCTCCACTAAAGTGACCCTGCACGAGCAGATCGTTCAGCTTCTTCATTCCCGGACCCGGATCTATTTCCTGTATCGTCTCCACGTTAGTAACCTCGAATACTATCACTCTCAGCTCCTGGTCTACGGGAAGTGGAGGGTCCACTCTCATGGGCTCTGGTGGCTTCTCAGAAAACGGGAATATATCCACCTGGGCATTGGGGCAAATGGAGACACGATATAAATTGCATTTTTCAACAAAAAACACTTGATCAGTGATCATGTTAAAATTGTTACATAGATGCAATGATTATTCCAGCGAGATATTCTGAAATGTAAGATACAACAAGGCCAAGGTGTTGAGGCACGCACCCACATAAGGATCCGACCCTGAGGTACACCAGGCATAACAGGATCAGTTAGTTGTCTCTTTTCAACATAGTCCCTGATCAGCCCGAACTCTAACAGGATGTACAGGGCTGTCCTCTCCTTGTACTCTCCCCAACTGAAGAAGGGGTGTTATTATAATAGGGTGGATTTTCTTTATTGGTGGAAATAATGACAAATTTTGATTTTGGATAAGGAGTTAAAAGGCAGCGAAAATTTGGTATGCGTTTATGTTTGAGAAAGTCGCTGGGTGCAAAACAGATTTTTTTATTTTTTGATGGACATCAGAGACTATAATAATACTTTCAATACTACTATATAACAAATAATTTGAAGCTCTAATGATGTAGTTTTACGAAGATTTCAAGCCTTACGTTGTGTGTCCAAAAGCATTATATAGAGACTATAATAAATATATAAAAACTTAACTCAAAATACTCACACAGCAGAATCCTCGTAGTTAACTTCGTGTTTCTCAAACTCCTCAGAGGAAAACATCTCCCCATTAACCCCGGCTCTCTTGCCGTCACTAGAATAAGTAGGTACAGGTATGCCATTAGCCAGACACCACTCCTCCAGAATCTGTACTGGTGACATGAAGTCTCTCCAGCTGTGGGGGCCGTCTATCATGTACCTCTCCGTTAGTCCACACATTGGCCTCTTCACGCTCAGGTACCTAAAGAGGGTTGTAGGGAGGTGGAGTCAGGGGTTTGGAGGTGGATACAAGGAGCATATTGGAGGATTAGTTAGGTGTAGGGTTTAAATGTAGCAATATAATTGTGTCGTTATAAATTGATTACATCTCCTGGTTTTGAAGAACTCTAGGATTCTCAATAGCAAACTACGATGAGCTCATATTGCAGGATTTAATTCACGGCACTCCTCTTAAAAGGTGAGAAATCAAATAGCAATGAAACAAGAGACCGACCTGTTCTCCAAGTCAGGTGAGAAATCAAATAGCAATGAAACAAGAGACCGACCTGTTCTCCAAGTCAGGTGAGAAATCAAATAGCAATGAAATAAGAGACCGACCTGTTCTCCAAGTCAGGTGAGAAAGCAAATAGCAATGAAATAAGAGACCGACCTGTTCTCCAAGTCAGGTAAGAAATCAAATAGCAATGAAACAAGAGACCGACCTGTTCTCCAAGTCAATCCTGGTCTCCCCGATCAGAATATCCCTTCCCTCCTCCGTCGCTTTCCAATCCCAACACTGCACCACTAACTGCGGCATGTTAGGAATTATAGTGGTCAAGTTGTAAAAAGTAGCAAACATCGGATCCCGGCAGTTCTTCTTAATGCTGCCGTCAACATCGTATATCTCCCTGGAGCCCAGTTTTACAGCTAGGAAGGGGTCGCACGTGTTCTCCTTGATCCTGCTCCTGCAGGCCAACCTGAGACCCTGGAGGAGGTAAACTCTGACATTGATCCTGATCGGGCCCACTGTGGGAACAGTGCCGTATATCAGCTCTCTGTTTCTGCTGGTGTCTGGATGTAGCTCGTATATCCTGCACACAATGTGTTTATACACCGTGGTGGTGGAATCTGGCGTCTAAAATTTAAGATTCAGTTTTAATCCACTGCAATTTCGATCTATTAGCAGCTAGCTTTTCACAGCTGAATAAAAGTTTCGATTTGGGGAAATTTGTATCCTTAAACAGGACTGTTATTTATAGCTTTACACCCACCTGAATGAGCCCTTGTACATGCCGATATCAGGGTCCTTCTCGTCGTCCTCATCGTCCGGATCTCCACCAAGTTTAGGACACCTCTGTAACTTAAACTGCTGGATCGAGTCACTGAAGTTGTTGAAGTAGGTCTCAATCTCCTTCTCGTATACAACTAGGATTGGTAGTTCGTGGTGGAGGAAGGTTTTGTAGAGAAGTGTGTCACCTTGCATCGCGTAGTACCTAGAACGAGGGGTGTTGTGTGTAAGTGCTATGGAAATTAGTGGGTTGGCTGAAGAGAAATTGTAAGATTTTTCTGAAATTACAGTATATCTGATGATTCAAGCTTATGTGATCGAATGTAATTCTGTTAGTATTTAGTTTATTTAGATCCATAAGTGTTTTTTTTTCCAAATAATTATTTTGTGCATACCCGCGATAAATCGATATGAAGCATTTACAATTTAATTGCGTTTACATTCTTACATTTTACAACAGTTATGAAGAAATGAACATTGAGGGTATTACACAAAGTGTCTCTCATTGCTTTCAGAGGAAAACCTCAAGATATGACACACCACACAAGCTTACGACAGATGAGCACAGATAAACTCTGCTATATTGAGGGACAAATGACACTATAACTAACATCTTGAGGTCCACAAACACAGTGCGTTCAGTTTTTATTTAAATTAAGTACTTAATTCATCGTTCTTGTTAAAAAACTTGTAGTTCGTATCTCCTTCTTTAAATTTCGTTTGTAATGCTTTTCCCAGTAATCATTCACCAATGTCAGTTTACCTAATCCAAACCAGTAAGAGCAATTTTAAATAAATTTTTTTTTTGCAAAATAACTCCAAGATGGTATTGGTAGGAAATATTTAACAGTTCACGTTCACCACCAGGTATGAAAGTACTCGTATTGGTTACGTTGATAGTCGTATTAGGAATATTCGGCCTGAACGGAGTGGATTCGAAGACATGCATAGCAAAAAAATTTAACAAAAAAGTGCAAGAATACAACGTCTGTCTCGCAAAAGGGTTTGGCCCATCCCTCGAAGGATGTAAAAAGATAAAAGGATCTGGTTCTATGAAAAAGAACCAGAGAAGGAAATGTACTAAAAAGGAGGGTTATCTGAAGAAATGTGGATATACTTGCCCGGATACTGTTGAACTTAAAGAAGGTTTGAGCGAATAATACAGTAGTTTTTCGACATGAAATGCTTATATAATTTATTGCATTAAAAACAACGGTATATACTATATATATTATGTAAGTGGCCTTTCTTTTACAGTTTACTCGAAGAAGGAAACGAAAAAGTGTTCTCGTGCCAAAAAAAACTTCGGAGGACCCCATTCATTTGTAGATAACATGGCCACTATCCAGGTTTTTTGACTGCACCTTTTTTATTAACATTTATTGAGGTTTAAAAATTGAAAGATGAAAATTATGTAAAACCAATGATGGTCTGAAGACCGAATCTTCAACCGTTGCTATTTAATTAGTTAATTGTCAATGGAGATTGAAGAGGATGTAAATTAGTTTGCGATATCTCCAAAATCTGGCAGTTTTGAGCTCAAAATGAATATCTGATCGCATATACTTGACCTCAAACTATCAGATTTATCAAATGAGCAGTTAATAGGCCCCACCTTAACGTGTCATCTCAGGACTGTGTGAACACGTGTGCAAGTAAAGATAACTGTGCAGCAATCAACTGGAAGAAGACTAAGTGGGGATTTAGGTGTTTCTTAAAGAAGCCTGGGTATGGTAAACTATCTAACAGTCCCAAAGCTACTGCTGTTGAGATGTGTTGTCTTGACAACAACTGTCCAGGTAAACAGATATAATACGGTGCTGCAGTCTTGTTGTGCCCGTTAGTTCTCAGACATTTGTTTTAAGTTTAAACATATCATAAAAAATCATATACACAAATGAAAAGACCATTTTAATTCAGTTGACGGAGGTTGGGGTGAATATGGGGCCTGGTCGGAATGTTCAGATTTATGCGGAGGAGGTACTCAGACAAGATCCAGGGACTGTAACAACCCTGCTCCTGCTAATGGTGGAGAGGCATGTGCAGGGAAAGATGTTGAGACTCAATCCTGCAATGATAAACTCTGTTCCATACCAGGTTAGCTTTTTTTGGTCCTCACAAAACTATATGGTACCAAGAGGCAAGACCACAGTACACAGTAAAATGTAGAAATCCCCACCCTAGCCATATACATGTATGTAGATATGTCTGATATGTATCATACATAGTATATGATAATACATTAATTTCATAATTACATAATCTCGAAGTTCCAATCTTTCTATTTCAGGTTTATTCGCGCAAAAACAAGTGGGCAAATGTTCAAATGAAAAGAAAAACTTGAACGGACCTCACACATTTGTGGATGACTTAACCACCATCCAGGTTCTCTGATGTTCACATTCTTTTTCCTTCTAAATTTAGCGGTCGTTCACTGGATAACGAATTTCTCGAAATAACAGCGATTTACTTGTAATTGTGTAGATGCAAATTTCGCGGCAACATTTCTCAATCTGAAGATTTTTGAGCTAAAATATTATTCATGTTAGCTTGACCAGACTTTCAGGGTACTGGCAGGTAAAATCCTAAAGAAAAGCAGTGGCCTTCGGCACTTGAGACCTCTTCAAATCTCCCCTGATTGATTTATTATTGCTATTGTTTGATTGTGCCGTAAAAATAAATATTTGTTTTATTAAATATTTGTTTTATTAAATATTTGTTTTATTAAATATTTGTTTTATCAAAAAGGAGATTACCAATGTGTGTTTCTCAGGACTGTGTGAACAAGTGTGCAAGTAAAGATAACTGTGCAGCAATCAACTGGAAGAAGACTAAGTGGGGATTTAGGTGTTTCTTAAAGAAGCCTGGGTATGGTAAACTATCTAACAGTCCCAAAGCTACTGCTGTTGAGATGTGTTGTCTTGACAACACTTGTCCAGGTAAACAGATATTAAATTATATTACAGTCATTTTGTTCAGTTTACAGTATGGTATTATTATTTTTCATCAAAAATGATTTCTAACAAGCGGCCTAAACCTTTTAAAAATTATAAATAATTTTAATCTATGAAAGCAGACTTCAAATACAAATGCTAAGAAGCATTATTGAAGCAAAATGGAGAAGATTAGAAATGCCTCTTTATTCTCATACATTTGTTTAAAATAATTTCAATCCCTGAAACTAGACTTCAAGTACGGATGCTATGATGCATTATTGAAGCAAAGTGGAGAGGGTTAAAAAGGCCCGTTGGTTCTCATAAGCTTAATTTTCAGTTGACGGAGATTGGGGTGAATATGGGGCCTGGTCGAAATGTTCAGCTGAGTGTAATGGAGGTACCCAGATCAGATCCAAGGAATGTAACAACCCTGTCCCTGCTAATGGCGGGGCAGCGTGTGTAGGAGATGATGTTCAGACTCAATCCTGCAACTCTGACCCTTGCGCAGTAAATGGAGGTTGGAGTGAATATGGGGCTTGGTCGAAATGCTCAGCTGAATGTGGAGGAAAAGGTACCCAGATCAGATCCAAGGAATGTAACAACCCTGCTCCTGCTAATGGCGGGGCAGCGTGTGTAGGAGACGATGTCCAGACTCAATCCTGCAACTCTGACCCTTGCGCAGTAAATGGAGGTTGGAGTGAATATGGGGCTTGGTCGAAATGTTCAGCTGTTTGTGGAGGAAAAGGTACCCAGATCAGATCCAAGGAATGTAACAACCCTGCTCCTGCTAATGGCGGGGCAGCGTGTGTAGGAGACGATGTTCAGACTCAATCCTGCAACTCTGACCCTTGCGCAGTAAATGGAGGTTGGAGTGAATATGGGGCTTGGTCAAAATGTTCAGCTGAGTGTAATGGAGGTACCCAGATCAGATCCAAGGAATGTAACAACCCTGCTCCTGCTAATGGCGGGGCAGCGTGTGTAGGAGACGATTCACAGACCCAATCCTGCAACTCTGACCCTTGCGCAGTAAATGGAGGTTGGAGTGAATATGGGGCCTGGTCGAAATGCTCAGCTGAATGTGGAGGAGGCACCCAGATCAGATCCAAGGAATGTAACAACCCTGCCCCTGCTAACGGTGGGGCAGCGTGTGTAGGAGACGATTCACAGACTCAATCCTGCAACTCTGACCCTTGCTCAGGTAAGTGTTAGATTGTTCTCCTTCCTACCGAATCGCGCAACCAGAAAATGTAAAACATGCATTGGTTTAATGACTTTCACTTTCACTTTCACTTTCGGCACGAAGCAAGATGATCAGGGGTGTAGGAATGATTTTCTTCATGGGGGGGCCAAATTCTAAATATTTTTTGGCGCTTCGCGCCACAGCCTAAATTTTTTGGCGCTTCGCACCAAAGCCTGAATTTCGAGGTTAAGGACAAAAGGAAATTGCAGCATGTGCGGTATCGCGATTTTTCACGTTTGCCGCGACAAGTCGCGATTTTTCAGATCCTGGCCTCACGAAAAATCGCGATTTTTTTCAGTTCTCCGCGTCAAATTGCGAATTTTCCTTTAAATCTGAGAACCAAATTCGTGTATTTTCCTTCAAATCTGTGGGCCAAATATTACGTTTTCTATAATTAGTATATGAAACCAATCAGTATTACATCCACAACCTTCCGAATGTAGGTACGGACTTCAAAAAACCGAAAAAAATATTTTCGGCTCAGAATGATCAGGGTAGCATAAAACATGAACAAAAGTAATTTCCAGAAAAACTTTTAAAAATTTTGACTTAGAAAATTTTCGGTCCGAGTCATTCACGATACGTACCTCTAAAAGCAGAGCTCCTGCTTCCGAGCTCGTATTACGAAGGGGAGGCCTGCCTTCCGAGATCGCATCACAAAGGGGAACCCTCGAGTCCAAAATCGTATGTCGAACTTCGAAAACCGAAAAAAATATGTTTGGCTCATAATGATCAGGGTAGCATGAAACATGAACAAAAGTAGTTTTCAACTTCAAGAAAACTTTGAAAATTTTTGACTTAGAAAATTTTCGGTCCGAGTCATTCACGATACGTACCTCTAAAAGCAGAGCTCCCGCTTCCGAGCTCGTATTACGAAGGGGAGGCCTGCCTTCCGAGATCGCATCACAAAGGGGAACCCACGAGTTTAAAATCGTATATCGAAGGGTAGGTGCGGACTTCGAAAACCGAAAAAAATATTTTCGGCTCAGAATGATCAGGGTAGCATGAAACATGAACAGAAGTAGTTTTCAAGAAAACTTTGAAAATTTTTGACTTAGAAAATTTTCGGTCCGAGTCATTCACGATACGTACCTCTGAAAGCAGAGCTCCCGCTTCCGAGCTCGTATTGCGAAGGGGAGGCCTGCCTTCCGAGATCGCATCACAAAGGGGAACCCTCGAGTCCAAAATCGTATGTCGAACTTCGAAAACCGAAAAAAATATGTTTGGCTCATAATGATCAGGGTAGCATGAAACATGAACAAAAGTAGTTTTCAACTTCAAGAAAACTTTGAAAATTTTTGACTTAGAAAATTTTCGGTCCGAGTCATTCACGATACGTACCTCTAAAAGCAGAGCTCCCGCTTCCGAGCTCGTATTACGAAGGGGAGGCCTGCCTTCCGAGATCGCATCACAAAGGGGAACCCACGAGTTTAAAATCGTATATCGAAGGGTAGGTGCGGACTTCGAAAACCGAAAAAAATATTTTCGGCTCAGAATGATCAGGGTAGCATGAAACATGAACAGAAGTAGTTTTCAAGAAAACTTTGAAAATTTTTGACTTAGAAAATTTTCGGTCCGAGTCATTCACGATACGTACCTCTGAAAGCAGAGCTCCCGCTTCCGAGCTCGTATTGCGAAGGGGAGGCCTGCCTTCCGAGATCGCATCACAAAGGGGAACCCTCGAGTCCAAAATCGTATGTCGAACTTCGAAAACCGAAAAAAATATTTTCGGCTCATAATGATCAGGGTAGCATGAAACATGAACAAAAGTAGTTTTCAAGAAAACTTTGAAAATTTTTGACTTTAAAATTTTCGGGGGAAAAAAATGTTTCCCAAAAATTTTTAAAAGCCTAAATTAAAAAGTTGGCCCTTTTTGGCCCCTTGCCCAAATTTTATGGGGGGGCGATGGCCCCCCCTGCCCCCCCGCTTCCTACACCCCTGAAGATGATTGTATGTTTGTAACCGATAGATACAATTATAAGTAGTGAGTTGGAATCTAATCGGGATTTTATAAACCTGATAGGACATCGGATATCCGATTTATATAATCTCAACCGATCTTGTACCTCTACAAGAGTTTCACTTGCTACAAAACACAAAATATTATCCAAAAACGTCCTTTAATGTTTTGTGACTACACAATATGATAGTCTGAGTGCAGTCTATTTTAATCCAATTCATCTCAATTGAAAATGAGTCTGGAACCTAACTCGAGCACAGCTGTTATTCTAACACCAACCCTTACCATCGTCCATATTTTAGTTTAAAATCAATATTTGAAAATATTTTCCGTAAGCACAATTTCAATAATAATATTAATAAATGAAAACATCGAGAATTTACGTAACCGATCATATTACGGCGAGTAATAAATTCTTCTTAACTTGTTTTAATCAGTTATTACTTTGAACCCTACAAATCATAAAAGCAAACAAATTCAGTTGACGGAGGTTGGGGTGAATATGGGGCTTGGTCGGAATGTTCAGATTTATGCGGAGGAGGAACTCAGATCAGATCCAAGGAATGTAACAACCCTGCTCCTGTTAATGGTGGGGCAGCGTGTGTAGGAGACGATGTTCAGACTCAATCCTGCAACTCTGACCCTTGCTCTGCAGTTGATGGAGGTTGGAGTGAATATGGGGCTTGGTCGAAATGTTCAGCTGAGTGTGGAGGAAAAGGTACCCAGATCAGATCCAAGGAATGTAGCAACCCTGCTCCTGTTAATGGTGGGGCAGCGTGTGTAGGAGACGATTCACAAACTAGATCCTGCAACTCTGAACCATGTATAGGTTGGTATTCCTTTTGATCTTGTTGATTGCTAAATTCTATGAAAGTAATATGCGAATTTCAATATAAATCATAAAAATATACGCGATAGTGGTAACATGGCTCACTCTCAGTGACAATTAGCTACAGAAATGTGGTTGGCGTTACGTTTTGCCGAAATCAACGATTTAAAAAGTTTCTGAATTCGTGTTGTTAAAGTAACTTTGTACTTATGGTAAAAACAAAACAGAAAGAGTAGCCTTTGCACTGTGAAGTTCGGCAAATAGATCCTAAAACAAGATCTTCAGTTGACGGAGAATGGGGTGATTTCGGTGCTTGGTCGCAATGCACGGCTGACTGCGGCGTTGGTACCAAAACTAGATACAGGGAATGTAGCAACCCTGCTCCTGTTAATGGTGGGGCAGCGTGTGTAGGAGACGATTCACAAACTAGATCCTGCAACTCTGAACCATGTATAGGTTGGTATTCCTTTTGATCTTGTTGATTGCTAAATTCTATGAAAGTAATATGCGAATTTCAATATAAATCATAAAAATATACGCGATAGTGGTAACATGGCTCACTCTCAGTGACAATTAGCTACAGAAATGTGGTTGGCGTTACGTTTTGCCGAAATCAACGATTTAAAAAGTTTCTGAATTCGTGTTGTTAAAGTAACTTTGTACTTATGGTAAAAACAAAACAGAAAGAGTAGCCTTTGCACTGTGAAGTTCGGCAAATAGATCCTAAAACAAGATCTTCAGTTGACGGAGAATGGGGTGATTTCGGTGCTTGGTCGCAATGCACGGCTGACTGCGGTGTTGGTACCAAAACCAGATACAGGAAATGTAGCAGCCCCGCTCCTGGTATCGGGGGAGCATATTGCAGTGGACAAATTTCAGAAACCTACACTTGCAATTCGGATCCTTGTCCAGGTAACCTAACCACTAACCAGTAACGCAGTATTTTCGAGGCCAAATTTATTCAAAATTATTTTAGTTTGAACCCCTCAGATTAACAGACCATCTCTTTTTCAGTAAATGGAGGATGGGGTGAATATGGGGCCTGGTCGAAATGCTCAGCTGTTTGTGGAGGAAAAGGTACCCAGATCAGATCCAAGCAATGTAACAACCCTGCTCCTGCTAATGGCGGGGCAGCGTGTGTAGGAGACGATTCACAGACCCAATCCTGCAACTCTGACCCTTGCGCAGTAAATGGAGGTTGGGGTGAATATGGGGCTTGGTCGAAATGCTCAGCTGTTTGTGGAGGAAAAGGCACCCAGATCAGATCCAAGGAATGTAACAACCCTGCTCCTGCTAACGGTGGGGCAGCCTGTGTAGGAGACGATGTTCAGACTCAATCCTGCAACTCTGACCCTTGCGCAGTAAATGGAGGTTGGAGTGAATATGGGGCTTGGTCGAAATGTTCAGCTGAGTGTGGAGGAAAAGGTACCCAGATCAGATCCAAGGAATGTAACAACCCTGCCCCTGCTAACGGTGGGGCAGCGTGTGTAGGAGACGATTCACAGACTCAATCCTGCAACTCTGACCCTTGCGCAGTAAATGGAGGTTGGAGTGAATATGGGGCTTGGTCAAAATGTTCAGCTGAGTGTAATGGAGGTACCCAGATCAGATCCAAGCAATGTAACAACCCTGCTCCTGCTAATGGCGGGGCAGCGTGTGTAGGAGACGATTCACAGACCCAATCCTGCAACTCTGACCCTTGCGCAGTAAATGGAGGTTGGGGTGAATATGGGGCTTGGTCGAAATGCTCAGCTGTTTGTGGAGGAAAAGGCACCCAGATCAGATCCAAGCAATGTAACAACCCTGCTCCTGCTAATGGAGGGGCAGCGTGTGTAGGAGACGATTCACAGACTCAATCCTGCAACTCTGACCCTTGCGCAGTAAATGGAGGTTGGAGTGAATATGGGGCTTGGTCAACATGTTCAGCTGAGTGTGGAGGAAAAGGTACCCAGATCAGATCCAAGGAATGTAACAACCCTGCCCCTGCTAACGGTGGGTCAGCGTGTGTAGGAGACGATGTTCAGACTCAATCCTGCAACTCTGACCCTTGCGCAGTAAATGGAGGTTGGGGCGAATATGGGGCTTGGTCGAAATGCTCAGCTGTTTGTGGAGGAAAAGGTACCCAGATCAGATCCAAGGAATGTAACAACCCTGCTCCTGCTAAAGGCGGGTCAGCGTGTGTAGGAGACGATGTTCAGACTCAATCCTGCAACTCTGACCCTTGCTCTGCAGTTGATGGAGGTTGGGGTGAATATGGGGCTTGGTCGAAATGCTCAGCTGTTTGTGGAGGAAAAGGTACCCAGATCAGATCCAAGGAATGTAACAACCCTGCCCCTGCTAATGGCGGGGCAGTGTGTGTAGGAGACGATGTTCAGACTCAATCCTGCAACTCTGACCCCTGCCCAGGTTTTCTTACAGTAATACATAAGAACAGTGTTCAAACTTAAAAACTTATTAGATATTAGTTCTTTCAGTTTTAATATCAACAAGAAATATACACCAGTTTAATGAATACTTAACCTCAGCCTGTGACAAATCCCTGGGAAAGGTCGCTCAGATATCTAAAGGAAAAGCAGGAATGTGGGGAGTTGATAGCGAGGAGGACGTTTTCAAACTCGACACTGGAAGTAATGAAGAACATGACAATACTTCTAGCACATTTATTTTTGCACCATTACTTAAACAAATTAAATATAGAATGATGCACGTTAAATCAAATATGAAATAATATCAATTTAATGCCGTTCATAATATTTGTTAAATAAAACCTTGTATTGCAGGATTATGTTGGGCTAAAGTAACGGGTGGTAAACTAACGAAGGTTTCCTCTGGAGCAACTGTATGGGGAATAGGTCCTGGTCGGAATGTCTACAAGTACTTGGGAGGAGATAGCTGGTTACAACTCCCTGGAGACTTCGTCGATGTTAGTTACATGGCAGAGTGTGCTTTAATATCACTTACATCTTTCCCAACCTTCCTATTTTTATTGCTCCCTTACATGTTCGTTATAAGGAGATGTAACCTTGAATTATAACGAAGCAATCTCCAAAACGCTATTCATCTAAACTTTAACATTCCAGGTTGATGTGAGTGACAATGATAACGTATGGGGTGTGGCCTCCAACCATGACCTCTTCAGATGGACTGCAAGCACGTGGGAGCGAATACCTGGCAAAGCTAGGAAGGTCAAGGTTACTCCGGAGGGAGTGTGGGCTATGGGTGAGGGGAACGAAATCTTGTTCAGAACGGGGACATACGGAGACCAGGACATCTCAGGGATAGAGGTTAGAGTTCAAATATCTAGATGTAAAATATACCTCGTTGGAATTTATTTGGTCGGATATAACTTGAGCGCTAGAGGGCTTAGCAGTTAGCACTCAGGTGATGTCAACCCAAATTAAAGTTCAGTTACCCTGTACGTTCAAAGAAATCTTTGCGTTCATAATTATGACCACCCAAAATTATGCAATGCTAAATCTAAATTATTTTCAGTGGGAGGATGTATCAGGACGACTGAACCGGGAATCTTCACCAATAACAGCCATGGTTCCAACTAGAAGCGCCCTCTTGATCGACCTAATCTTAGATATCGATATACCGGATCAAGCTTGTGTAAACGTTCCAGAAGAGTTGCTAGATGTTTTAGGAGACAAATTAACAAATCAGTGAAAGAACTTTTAACGATGTTTTTAAAATAAAAGGGTTCTTTTGATAGATTGGATCGCTGCTTGGATAATTATTGCGCGCCCGAATCTGTTTTATAGTAGTTGCCGATTGCCGAATATATATATATATTCTATGAAAATAATGTATAGTGTAGATTTTAACGGTGCTGATACTTGTGTTGCACTTGTATTTTGAATTTATCAATGATTCGTAAATCCCCTCGTAATATTTCTTAATCAATCGTAATGATTGTAAATCCTCTTGATTAATTTGTTGAGATACGCTCAAGGAAAATATATTTTCACACCATACCATAACCATCAATAATGATCGTTTCAACATTTAATTGTAGTATAAGATCTCCAGACTGAATTCTAACTGTACTGACCTGGACCACCAGTACATGGAGAGGAACTGAATTCTAACTGTACTGACCTGGACCACCAGTACATGGAGAGGAACTGAATTCGAACTGTACTGACCTGGACCACCAGTACATGGAGAGGAACTCCCAGTCTCCAGACTGAATTCTAACTGTACTGACCTGGACCACCAGTACATGGAGAGGAACTGAATTCTAACTGTACTGACCTGGACCACCAGTACATGGAGAGGAACTGAATTCTAACTGTACTGACCTGGACCACCAGTACATGGAGAGGAACTTCCAGTCTCCAGACTGAATTCTAACTATACTGACCTGGACCACCAGTACATGGAGAGGAACTCCCAGTCGTCTGATTCGTCAATGAGGGTTACGGGAGTCTGGCCAGTCCCACTCTTGCCTACAATCTTCTTCTTGCTCAGGCAAGCAGCACAACCTGAGAGAGGTGATATTTTAGAGATTTTGTGTTGTCAACAGTATTGGGAACAGTAACCTTGGGAACAGTTACCTTGGGAACAGTTACCTTGATAATCTGAAAAGAGTGGTTTCTGCATTTGGGACACTAAACATTGCCAACAATCTGTGAGATATTAACAGGCTGGGCTCATTTAATAACTGTAACCAGTTGTGCAAAAGTATAATGTAAGTTTAAACCTGTCGGATAATCGATCTCGTCCTCAATTATAACAACCGTCTCAGCAATACTCTCCTCCTTCTCTTCCTTCTCCTCGGAGATGAGAGAGTTTTTATCACTGTCCTTCTCATCCTCAGCATTGTCTTTTCTCTGTGTCAACTGTGCCATGATCCAGTCAGGATCGAACGGTTTGAAATCTTTGATGATGTATTTTCCCACTAAAGGAGTAAACCCATTAGGTCGCTGATCTAGGAGTCTAATGTTGATGGGAGGTTTGAAGTTGTTCTCCTGAGGGAGAGGACAGTCGAAATAGTGAGCTGTTTGGGGGAAGTTGGGGTTGTTTAACACATCGTCAATGTTAGGGAGAATTAGGATTGCTCCTCCGCATTCAATCTCCAACCGCGGGTTAATAATAGGTTTTCCACTCCAGAATTTGAGATGACGCAACCCCCAGCTGAGAACCTGAACGGTTTGTGAGGGTGTTACCGGCGTTGGTGGTGTTTAACTTGTGATTTATCCTAAACTACTTAATGAGACTGAACTGGTTTGGATTGGTTAAATAACCGGTTTTTATAAATCATGACTTAAATACATTTGCGATACCTTCTGCTTTATATCTTTGATATCTATACGATGTCTTCTGCTATATCCAACTACGAGATTGAAGATCTCTATTAGCAGTAAGCGACAAGCATAAATATGTAACCATTAACCATGCATAGTTTGGTTAACCACCTGGGAACTAATTTGCCACAAGCATTTATTTGCAGGTCAACACATTCCTGTACAGAAATACTTCCAGAAAATATTCATAATGCGCTAACAATTGGCCAAGGAATAAGAATTTTAGTGCCCAAAATTTGGACCCTAATTGGTGTCAAAAACGCGAATTAAATACATAATAATGATTTTAGTCTCTAGTGGTCTATAGGGTTAGACGGGTTCCTGCTAGTATTCATAATGCGCTAACTATGGTATTAGTATGCATATTCGTTAAAGGAAAACAACTCCATCAAAATCAAAACGGTACCTCAATTCTTGTCTGCTTGAGTATGGGTCTGATGCCTGGAGGAACCTGGAGCCCCGTACCGCTAGGGTGGGGAGGTGGTACAAACGGTATGTCCTCGCCCTTTACCGTCTGCCAAATAAAGTAGTTGTAACTGCATGTTGTAACGTTTACAGGTTCATTGTAAACGTGAGTTAACTAAACTTACACCACTTTACACTAATACAAATATCATCGTCATTAATCTTGAATATCTTGAGAGCCCGTATACTCTATCAATAACAAAGCCCTGTTAGCTGACTCTATTAATACCAACATATAAACTAACAGTTTACATATAATATAAACAAACTTATAGATATAAACCTGGAATATCTCAAAAGCAGCAAGAATATCACCGTGGTGTTCCCCGTTTGTGTATACAGGGTACCACATCATCCGGCTGACATGATAGTTCTCTCCAAAGAAGGGGTACGGCTGTAGGGACGATACTCCCACCGGCACATCTGCCTAAGGGATTCATCTCTTGAAACTTTAAGCTGGACAACTTATACCGTTAGTTCTTTTTTATAGTTAGTTTCTTGCTCTTAGTTTTAATCTAGATGTGTACGTTGGAGAAAACGGAAAACCAATTAGTAATTTATTCCGTGACCGATTTGCTGTGTGAATTATACTATTTCTAATAGAGTTGCGTAAATTTACACGCGTGATAACTTAGCATTAACAATGAACATACAATATCTAGTCTTGTCAAGAGGAATTTGTATAATTAGTGAGGGACTGATGTAAACGAAGTGAAATAAGAGTTGTTGCTTACATTAGCTCCATTGTGCCAAATAGTGATGGTGACTGACGGCAAGGAGTTCCTGACATCGTTCGTGTTTCCGTTTATCGTTATACCTTGGTGGATTGCAGTCAATAGAAAGATTGATATCGTGTGATATAAAAAGGTCATTTAGGTGGTAATATGATTATTAAGGTTGGATTATCATTGTTATTGTTAAGATTTGATTATTATGTCTAAGATACGAATCACGAAGGGGGTGTTCATTTGAAACTCAGCATCAGAATATTCAATTTTATTCAAATAAAATTAACTCGTTTTCTTTTTCCTTTGAAAATTCATGGGTCTTGCCTTTCAATGCAATTCCTAACTGAACTGAAAGGTTTTTTCTTCAAGGGATCACCCAGTTTTGCTGGGTACTTAGTTTTGCGTTAGAATCATTTAATCACAATATCAGATAACCGGTAGTGCAAATCGTTTCTCGCAAAATGGAAAGATGTCAAGTCGAGCTTAAATGCCTTTATAAATTCCACTTTATTTCAAGAAATACTGTCTCAAGATTTGAAAAATATCGATATTTTCGCACACCGATCACCTATTAACCATTCCACCTTAGTTCCATGATCATATATCCTAAACGAGTCGCGATGAATCATCAGGTTGTCTGATTGATTAAATATTTGGAGTTAAAATGGGATGTGCTGAGGTAAGTGACTTGCGGAAATCAGACGAATGAGAATTAGCGAAGGAAACTACAGTAAAGCAATCGACATGATCTCTTCACAACTACAAAACTCACCTTTAAACATGAAGGACTGGTCCCACGTAGGTGATAGCTGCTTCTTTATGGTACGAGTAATGGCAGTGTGTCTCCAGCAACTCACCACACAGTACGCGTTTATAGTTCCATCCACCTCCGGGCTGCTCAGTTCTCTACCTGTTAGTCACAGGTGTCACAGGCTGTGTCACAGGCTGTGTCACAGCCTGTGACAGTTTATGTGTCACAGCCTGTGACAGTTTATTTTTCAATTACTGGATTAGTAAAAGTGAGATATTCCTATTACCTTGGTAGATGTGTGTCCGTACTTCGTATGTGTTAACTTCAGGGAACTCTAGTACCATAACCGGGGGTACTAGAACCTGTGCGTCTTCATTCCATACCTGATACCAGTACAAAGTTTAACACTGAACACATCCTCTTTTATTCCAAATGTCTTAACCTCGTTATTTCATACTTAACTCTTAAACCACCATATCTCTTACTCGAAATTTCAAGATAGGTATGATAGAAGCGTTTCGATCCTTCAATGCATCAGCAGAAATGTTGCAAGTCTAAAAAGAATAATATACATAACATATATATATAATCATGATCAAAGAGAAATTAACAGATCTCGCAGAAAACCTACCTCGAAGCAAACAGGTCCAGCATTTCTGCTGTTCAACATGCGTCTCCAGCGGCGTCTCCGGACAATGTCACTGTTCATCTCCCCGCTGTGGAACTTGCTCTGGAAGGTTTTAGCGTAGTCCCAGCCTCCAGTCTCAGCCACTACTTCCTGAGAAATGGGATGTCAGAGTGGATTATAGTTCTTGAAGGACTCTCTTGAAGGGTAGAGTATCAAAGAATTGGTGCAATGAAGGGGCTCACTAATTTAATTTCCTTATATCATACAGTGAAGCGGCAGTGTGAACGATCAAACTCACTACGGAGAAATCAGAATACCTATATTTAACTTTAACTCAATCTAAATGTTCTCACAGCAACAGTGGGGATGACAGTATCACCAGTCTTGACTCTCTCCCTAAGCCAGAGTCTCCTCCTACAGTAGTGGTAGGGTTTGAAGGAGGAGGTGAAGTCTGCCGAGTCTACTTCCACTGCGTACTGCCAATCTGAGTGCGGGGAGGGTGTCAGTCAATTCTTATTTTTATCTATGTCTATCATGGTAACAATATTTAAATATGATGCCCCGTAGTATGATACCAGCAGAACTTTTTGAAAAGGATGCGAATTAAACTCACTATCTCCATCGCCGGGTTGGTTGCTGTCAATACTCCAGTCGGTTTTGTTCTCCCACCCTGGAGGCATCTCGTCATTCCAGTTTACCTCCTCCATGTCCGAGTTCATCCATACTTTCTTGGCAGAGCTCCAATTTTTACCATGTTCCCTCAAGTCCACTTCGAATATCCGGTCAGTATATTCGTTCATATTGTAGTCTTCTGTCACCATAGAGCTGCAACATGCAGGTTGTCACTGAATAGTGCTCTTTCATCATTGCAGCGACTAAAACTCAATAAGAAAACTATAAAACAAGTAGCATGTTTAAAAAGAACCTGAAGTCGAGGGAGACCTGCCACTCTTCTCCCCATTCCCATCCTTTAGGTGGTATAAATGCAGCTTGTGGCAGTGCAATCTGTGGAGTCGTGTGTCATTTCAATCAGATACAGCTATTAATGATTTAAAGTAATCCGCAAAATTTAGGGCGTCTAGCATGTTCGCAGAAAACGATATGGGTGATTTAATTTTGAATAGGCGTGGTCTCTAATTACAATTGAAGTTTAAACTTTTGGTGACCGAATTCTCAAATTAATAAGCACAGCTGTATGTCATCTGAGCAACAACTCTCAAATATGAAACATGGCGATGTTGTACGACCCACTGCATGTATACTGACTTTGCCTCCCCCCCCCTCCCCTTTGCCCCCCCCCCCTAACCTTTCCATCAGGGTTAGAAAACTCAGGTCTAGTGAGACCCTTGATACTCCACGTGGTTCCCATCACCGTCTGGTTCTCAAAGGTCTCCGCGTACACGGTGATCCTACCATCAGAGGGGATATCGTAATTCCAGTACTCTTCTTCAGTTCCAAACCAGCCGAAACACTTCAAGAGGCAAGCTGTTCTGTCCTCCTTACTTCCCAGGTACTGAGAGTAAGAGCTTGGTAAGCTTTTATCTTGAATAGATAAATTCAGAAGAACATGAATGTGGTATATATACCACATTCATGTTCTTCTGAATATATATAAGAGTAACAATATATATAAGAGTAACAAGGAAGGAATTATTCGTGAAAGAATTTCGCATTTTGATCCAAGAATATGTCAAGTTTTGACATTCCAAGTGCTCACCCTCATCTGTATGCTCCGGAACTTGCTACAAGCATAGCCAGGGTTCCGTCTGTGGAACAGGAAGTGATGGATGGGAGCTTTGAAGTAAGCTATCCGCTCACCGTTTGATATCATCCAGACCAGAACGTCGGGGATTTGCGTCTGGGGCTCAGTGAACGCGTCTTTTACTGAAAATTAAGTTACATGATCAATGTAAGTTACTTTTAGTGTCGACCTAAACATTGCTGGACTTAAGTGACTTGTCATTGTTACATTTCTTACCATTTATCACTGGAACTGGTTTACAAAAACACAGCTATAAGTACCAGAAAACCTAAAAGAGTGATATATTTATGTAAACAGAACCCTCAAAACTTACAAGGAATCTTCAGTTCACAGAGTGATATATTTAGTAAACAGAACCCTCAAAACTTACAAGGAATCTTCAGTTCACAGAGTATATTTAGTAAACAGAACCCTCAAAACTTACAAGGAATCTTCAGTTCACAGAGTGATATATTTAGTAAACAGAACCCTCAAAACTTACAAGGAATCTTCAGTTCACAGAGTATATTTAGTAAACAGAACCCTCAAAACTTACAAGGAATCTTCAGTTCACAGAGTGATATATTTAGTAAACAGAACCCTCAAAACTTACAAGGAATCTTCAGTTCACAGAGTGATATATTTAGTAAACAGAACCCTCCAAACTTACAAGGAATCTTCAGTTCACGGAGTCTATATTTATGTAAACAGGACCCTCCAAACTTACAAAGAATTTTCAGTTCACAGAGTGATATTTATGTAAACAGAACCCTCAAAACTTACAAGGAATCTTCAGTTCACAGAGTGATATATTTAGTAAACAGAACCCTCCAAACTTACAAGGAATCTTCAGTTCACAGAGTCTATATTTATGCAAACAGAACCCTCCAAACTTACAAGGAATTTTCAGTTCACAGAGTGATATATTTAGTAAACAGAACCCTCCAAACTTACAAGGAATCTTCAGTTCACAGAGTCTATATTTATGTAAACAGAACCCTCAAAACTTACAAGGAATCTTCAGTTTACAGAGTGATATATTTAGTAAACAGAACCCTCCAAACTTACAAGGAATCTTCAGTTCACAGAGTGATATATTTAGTAAACAGAACCCTCAAAACTTACAAGGAATCTTCAGTTCACAGAGTCTATATTTATGTAAACAGAACCCTCCAAACTTACAAGGAATCTTCAGTTCACAGAGTCTATATTTAGTAAACAGAACCCTCCAAACTTACAAGGAATCTTCAGTTCACAGAGTCTATATTTATGTAAACAGAACCCTCCAAACTTACAAGGAATCTTCAGTTCACAGAGTGATATATTTATGTAAACAGAACCCTCAAAACTTACAAGGAATTTTCAGTTCACAGAGTCTATCGTAGAACGCCCAACTAGCCTTCATATTGGGTATCTCACTTAAGGCTGTTTTTGAGATGTTCCCGAGCTTGAAATGGCGGAGCTGCCGCACTTTTTCGTCCAAATTGGTATGCACCGGTGGTAATTCTGGGAGTTTTAACCTGAAATTTGTGTGTTCAAAGTAAAAGAATACTGTAAGTCTAAAGTGTAAATGAGAGCATTTGAAGATCACGGCTTATGAATTTAACGAAGGTTTTGTAGATATGACCTAGTATTTACAAATCAGGTGAGACGGTGACACACTAACCCGGAAACATGTGAAGAATGGACACTTACAAACAATCAGCTGAAAGTTCTTTCAATGTCCTTTTCATAGCTTGTTTCACCTCTTTTTCGTCAATCTCTAGCTGAAACCATTAACAGTGGACTAGCTTGATAAGTCGTTATTGAATAACAATATGGTTTTAATTTATCCGAAATAATTTTGTCTCATCTTTCATGTCAGTCATTTTTACATTAACATATTATGGTACTCCAAATGCAAAAAAGTTTCCTAAATTCTCCAAGGATTTTGTTTTTACATACCTGTATAAGGTCCTGCACCTGTTTCAGGTTCTCCTCGAACTTGTACAGTATCCTCTCCAGTATGTTGAGAGCATGTAGCCGGTAAGTGCAGTCCTCCCACTGACACGGAACTAGACACACTGGCCGACCTGGTACATCCGGTTATTGGTCACTGTTAAATATAGGCAAACTGACACTTGGTCACTGTTAAATATAGGCAAACTGACACTTGGTCACTGTTAAATATAGGCAAACAGAAACTTGGTCACTGTTAAATATACCTAGGCAAACTGACACTTGGTCACTGTAATGTAGGCAAACTGACACATGTTCACTGTTAAATATAGGCAAACTGACATTTGGTCACTGTTAAATATAAGCAAATAGACACTTGGTCACTGTTAAATACAGGCAAACAGACACTTGGTCACTGTTAAATACAGGCAAACAGACACTTGGTCACTGTTAAATACAGGCAAACAGACACTTGGTCACTGTTAAAATATAGGCAAACAGGACCAATTGGTCCACTGTTAAATGTAGGCAAACAGAAACTTGGCACTGTTAAATATAGGGCAAACAGACACTTGGTCCACTGTTAAATACAGGGCAATACAGACACTTGGTCACTGTTAATGTAGGCAACCAGACACTTGGTCCTGTTTGAATACAGGCAAACTAGACCACTTGGCACTGTTAAATGTAGGCAAACAAGAACACTTGGGGTCACTGTTAAATATAGGCCAAACAGACACATGGTCCACTGTTAAAATACAGGCAAACAGGGACACTTGGTATTGTTTAATATAGGCAAACAGTACTTGGTCACTGGTTAATGTAGGAAACAGAAACTGGTCACTTAATTGGCAAACAGCACTTGGTCACTGTTAAATAATAAATATAGGCAAACAGACACTTGGTCACTGTTAAATATAGGCAATCAGAAACTTGGTCACTGTTTAATTGTAGGCCAAAACAGACACTTGGTCGACTGTTAGAATATAGCACACAGACACTTGGTCACTGTTAAATATAGGCAAACTGACACTTGGTCTACTGTTAAATATATGCGAACGCCGAGACAGCACACTTGGTCACTGGTTAAATATAGGCCAAACAGTTTAACAGACACTTGGGTCACTGCAAATATAGGCAAACAGACACTTGGTCACTGTTATATATAGGCAAACAGACACTTGGTCACTGTTAAATATATGCGAACAGACACTTGGTCACTGTTAAATATAGGCAAACAGTTAACAGACACTTGGTCACTGTCAAATATAGGCAAACAGACACTTGGTCACTGTTATATATAGGCAAACAGAAACTTGGTCACTGTTAAATATAGGCGAACAGAAACTAGGTCACTGCTGAACGATTAAGATTACGAACAGTAGGGAGAAATTCTTGGATGATTGAGATCAAGGCTAAAGTACATTTAAAAAATGTATTAAAAAATGTATTATTATTTTTATTAAATTTGCTTTAAACACGATAAACTTACCATCGTCCCAGTTACAGTAATAGTACTTGGTTCCATCGAACATTGGCTGAGAGGAAGCAGTGAGAGAGTTGCTGGGAGTGTTGTGCTGCTCATGCTGTTTCCGTAATCTCCGATTGAGACTTCAAACTGGATAGCATGGTCTCCTTTCTCTACCATTGAGGCTTCTATAAATCCGAATAACATGATAAACTGCTTCCTGTTCCCGAAGCTCTGCAGATATCAAAATTTATTCATTTTTCAATTTTCATTATATCTTGTCAACAGAATATGAGCTTAATGAAAGTTCTGATGGGAAGAGTCTTAGAGTCAATGCAGTGTTTGTGTGTCTTTGAAATTCAGAAGATCGGCCTTAAATCGATCCAATCTTGGTTACATGTTTCATATTTTGATGGCAGTAACTGTGAAATATTGGAAGACAATTACTACCCGCCAAGTTAAAAGTTAATTGAGCTCACCTCAACTTTAGCTTTAGATTCTGGGGGGCTAGGATCAACGTCGTTAAAAACACCGACTGAGTAACTGGGTTTAGTGAATATCTCCAGGAATAGTCTGCCTCTGAATGCGACTCCGGGAACCTGGGGTACCGGAAATAAAATCCTACAGTAACTTGGGGGATGTTAGATCCTACAGTAACTTGGAGAATGTTATATCCTACAGTAACTTGGAGAATGTTAGATTCTACAGTAACTTGGGGGATGTTAGATCCTACAGTAACTTGGGGGATGTTAGATCCTACAGTTACTTGGAGAATGTTAGATCCTACAGTAACTTGGAGAATGTTAGATTCTACAGTAACTTTGAAAATGTTAGATCCTACAGTAACTTGGAGAATGTTAGATCCTACAGTAACTTGGAGAATGTTAGATCCTACAGTTACTTGGAGGATATTATATCCTACAGTAACTTGGGGGATGTAAGATCATACAGTTACTTGGAGAATGTTAAATCTTACAGTAACTTGGAGAATGTTAGATTCTACAGTAACTTTGAAAATGTTAGATCCTACAGTAACTTGGAGAATTTTAGATCCTACAGTAACTTGGAAGATGTTAGATCCTACAGTTACTTGGAGAATATTATATCCTACAGTTACTTGGAGAAAGTTAGATCCTACAGTAACTTGGGGGATGTTAGATCCTACAGTAACTTGGGGGATGTTAGATCTTACAGTAACTTGGAGGATGTTAGATCCTACAGTTACTTGGAGAATATTATATCCTACAGTAACTTGGGTGATGTTAGATCCTACAGTAACTTGGGGGATGTTAGATCTTACAGTAACTTGGGGGATGTTAGATCCTACAGTAACTTGGGGGATGTTAGATCCTACAGTAACTTTGAAAATGTTAGATCTTTCAGTAACTTGGGGGATGTTAGATCCTACAGTAACTTGGGGGATGTTAGATCTTACAGTAACTTGGAGGATGTTAGATCCTACAGTTACTTGGAGAAACCTGATACAGGTTCAGGACCTTCTGCCTGCACCGGGTGAAAGTAATTAATAGAGTCATCACTAAAATATTTTCTTTAAATAATTCATCAAACTCAAAGTTACCCAGCCCTGATTAAGGTAGTCGAACTTTTTGTAATTTTCCATAATCTCTCTGGGTCGTCCGTAAAAGTTGAGGTAGGACGGTCCGAACATCGGATCAAAACCTGGACACAGATTTAGTAACATTCACCAGAATATGGTATTTGGAACTTCTAAAATCTACTCACTGTCACCCAATAAAATGCATGGCCCAAGAATTCTGCCATTCGTTCTATAACATTGAACAGCTATATATAAATAATTGTGATATTGATATCCGCATTTGCGTCTTTTGTCTCACCCAGATAGTCGTTGCTCCTGTAGCTGATTGTATCTAGTTTGAGGAAGAATGTGCCGATAGGATCGTCAATTCCATCTAGCTCTATATCTCTATCCATCAGAGTTATCATCAGAGTATCGCAAATTGTTGGAATCTGGAAAATGGTAATGGTTGGAAGTGGTTCTTGAGATTTGTACTTTCGGCAATTATGAAAGACAATTTGGTTATTACTCTTTCGTTTAACTAATTTGAGCAGTTCACTAAATTAAATTAACTTTGATCTGGTTGGTTAGATTTGCAAAGCCAATAGAAAGCTATAAATCTAGAAGAGTGCCGTCATTTCTCCTGAATACTACCTCAATATTGAAAACGACATCCTCCATAAACACTGGGTTATATTCAGAGTACTGCAAGCTTGTTCTTGCCTGGGAAAACCAATTTTAATCAAGGTAAACTCAAGTTAAATCATTTAACCAGAAGGAATTAATATTTAAATAGCGAGGTTAAGATAATTAAGATAGTTTGAAGTCGAGCTTCTCAAACATTTAGCCAGAAGATAGAGTGACATAATGCGGAGGGGTTTATACACACGAAGGGTGAGATCCCGTGCTACGCCCTTCCTTGCTTGGCCGGAGCTAGGGTCTACCACAGGGATACAAAGCAACTACAATTAGTAGAGATCTCAACACAGACGGAGACCCCTAGGGCCTAGGGCCCAGAGTCTGCGGCCCCTTCCTCAACACAAACGGAGACCCCCAGAGTCTGCGGCCCCGTCCTCAACACAGACGGAGAGTGGAGACCCCCAGAGTCTGCGGCCCCGTCCTCAACACAGACGGAGAGTGGAGACCCCCAGAGTCTGCGGCCCCTTCCTCAACACAAACGGAGACCCCCAGAGTCTGCGGCCCCTTCCTCAACACAAACGGAGAGTGGAGACCCCCAGAGTCTGCGGCCCCTTCCTCAACACAAACGGAGACCCCCAGAGTATGCGGCCCCTTCCTCAACACAGACGGAGACCCCTAGGGCCCAGAGTCTTCGGCCCCTTCCTCAACACAAACGGAGACCCCCAGAGTCTACGGCCCCGTCCTCAACACAAACGGAGACCCCCAGAGTCTGCGGCCCCTTCCTCAACACAAACGGAGAGTGGAGACCCCCAGAGTCTGCGGCCCCTTCCTCAACACAAACGGAGACCCCCAGAGTATGCGGCCCCTTCCTCAACACAGACGGAGACCCCTAGGGCCCAGAGTCTTCGGCCCCTTCCTCAACACAAACGGAGACCCCCAGAGTCTACGGCCCCGTCCTCAACACAAACGGAGACCCCCAGAGTCTGCGGCCCCTTCCTCAACACAAACGGAGAGTGGAGACCCCCAGAGTCTGCGGCCCCTTCCTCAACACAAACGGAGACCCCCAGAGTCTACGGCCCCGTCCTCAACACAAACGGAGACCCCCAGAGTCTGCGGCCCCTTCCTCAACACAAACGGAGAGTGGAGACCCCCAGAGTCTGCGGCCCCTTCCTCAACACAGACGGAGACCCCCAGAGTCTGCGGCCCCGTCCTCAGCACAGACGGAGACCCCCAGAGTCTACGGCCCCGTCCTCAACACAGACGGAGAGTGGAGACCCCCAGAGTCTGCGGCCCCTTCCTCAACACAGACGGAGACCCCCAGAGTCTGCGGCCCCTTCCTCAACACAGACGGAGACCCCCAGAGTCTGCGGCCCCTTCCTCAACACAGACGGAGAGTGGAGACCCCTAGGGCCTAGGGCCCAGAGTCTGCGGCCCCGTCCTCAACACAGACGGAGACCCCCAGAGTCTGCGGCCCCTTCCTCAACACAGACGGAGAGTGGAGACCCCCAGAGTCTGCGGCCCCGTCCTCAACACAGACGGAGAGTGGAGACCCCCAGAGTCTGCGGCCCCTTCCTCAACACATACGGAGAGTGGAGACCCCCAGAGTCTGCGGCCCCGTCCTCAACACAAACGGAGACCCCCAGAGTCTTCGGCCCCCGCTTATAGTAGTACCATTCCCTCATTACCAGGAGGGAATTTCAATTCAATAGATAAGCGATAATATAGTTGAAGTGTTATTGACACTTTAATCTAAAAAGGATGATATATTAGATGAGTTTTAACCTCTGAGCCACCGTAGGATAAGGTAACATAAGGATTAGTGTAGGCTAGCTTTGTTAGCTTACTTTTTTCTTCACCTCCAACTTCGATCAAGGGATTGGACACTGAAATACTTTGAATTTGAAAAATAAATAAATTTTTCAAAAGGTTACAAAATTATATTCCTAAATTAAGTGCCACTTTTTGTGAGAACTTTTAGTTTAAATGCGTTTTAAAGAATGCATGAGGATATTAATCTTAATTTTCGTGACCAAAGATTTAAATTGTCTCTATGCTTATATTCGAAAAAGAAAAGAAAAGAATGCATGAATATTTTATTTTACAAAGTGTGTTAAATGAATCAATCCTTGAAACATTGTTATACCGAGAGAATCTATGACAACTTTTTGATTCTTCACTGAAATGAGTGTGCTTTTTAATGTATCAATTTTGTATCTATATTAATTTATTTTTTGAAGTAATCAATCATACGAGGTTACTGGTTAATCAAACTTCAACTCTCCAATAGTTAAAATAAACCTCCAATATTTCACATAGCACGATGTCATTCATTTAAAATGTTCGTGCCACGATATTTTGTGTTATATTTGAGCAAGGGTGTTACCAAGTGTTACTTTGAGGTGCCCTACGGCTGGCAGTTCTTATCAATTGATTCATTCAGTTATAACCATTCAGTCATAAAACTTCACAAGCTAAACGTTTTGAAACATTTTCAAGATCACATCTAATAAAATCATTTCCTTATCAGAATAATAAACAAAAACCCCTTACTCTGCGTGATATCCTCAGCTCTATGAACCCGAATAACTAGCTTCTGATACTGAGCATAGACCTCAGAGGGTCTCATGATATTAGCCATGACATCCAACAGGAGGGATTCTATTCGGGGCGGAGCTATCAGCTCCTGTCCGGACGCTAGTAAACTCATTGATGCAGACACGAACCCCTGGGAGTGAATAGTTATTTTAAAGGAGCTTTTTACTGTATGCCGTATGGTATGCAGATACGGAATTGGGCTGCAACCTGAATAAGACATCAAACTTATATATATTAACAAATATGGCAAAATGCAGAATTTCAGACACAGTATACACTGATTTCCACTTCATTCGATCATCTTGGTACCTTGATGTTTTTTGGGTTCTCAGATGGATGAGTGATCATGATCCACTTTTTGAACATAGTCCTGCAAGTGTCGGTGGGTGCATAGGCCGGTTCGTCCCAT